GGCTGGGGGGGGGCGGGGGCCTGAGCCAATCCCAGCTGTCACTGGCTGAGGACGGGGTTGTGTGTGCGTCATCTTTGTGTTGTGTCAGATTTGTTTCAAATTCCTGTTTTTTGGGGCACAGTTGACTCATTATGCTCATCAGATTGCTCAGACGCCATGATAGGGTGCTTATGACAGCTCAGGAGAAGTGAAATGTCACCGGGGGAACGGGGACACGCCGGTGTGTTGGCAGGTTGTTTTCATGTGTGAGGGATGTTGCTTACCCGCGACGTCACGTCCGCTGACACAGAAAAAGCCCCGAAATAGCACGGGTGCCCAGCGGATGGGGTAAGAGGATTGGGAGATTAGAGGCTGTGATTGCAGCAGGCCCTGCCCTCCCTCCCTCTCCCGCCCCGCTTTCATTCTCTCCCACAGATTGGACTGACACTTAAAACCCCGGTGATGAAAAATGGAATTCAGCTCGTCGGAAACGGCTTTAGACAAACACCAGTTTGAGTCACACCTCTGTCTGTCATTCTGCGGATCACAGGAACTTATCTCCATTCTCCGTCACACTGTCCAGTGTTCGCTTTCAGCTTTAGAAAGCGTTTGTACAATCAGCCGACATTACTCTATATATTTATTTATATTTATATACTCTATATATACATATGTGCTGTATAATATCAATACTAGACACCACAGACAACCATGCAGACTTACACTACCCAGAGAGAACTCACACACACACACACACACACACACGCACACACACACGGGTAGGTCATGTAAACTCCTCATTAACTTCTAAATTTGTTTAATTCAAACACAGACAATTAAAAATGTCCAATGATATCCAAGATAAGGAAACCAGCAGAGCAGGTATTTGTGGGGCAAAAAACGTTTTCAAGGAAATAAATCTTTTAAAGACAAGAATAATGTCACAAGTGCGTGGAAAGGAACCAGAACAGAAGGAGGAGAGGTGCATGATGGGAGCCTCCCCCAGGAGAACCATGGGGTGTTTCTATAACTATCAGCTTTATCAGAAAGGGCGCCTGCTTCCTGAACCCAGCCTGGTTCCTCAGAGGGGGGGTCTTCTTCCTGAACCTAGACTGGTTCCTCAGAGGGGGGGTCTGCTTCCTGAAGGCTCTGCCTCCCGTTCTGCTTTAAAAACTCAGGAACCAGAACCAGAACCTGCAGCCTGGGATCACAGAGCTCTGCTGGAAACATCCTGCTTTGAGCTCTTTAGAGATGGTGGAGCTACTCATTAGCAGGACTAATATATTCTATATATGCTGATCAGAATTTTACATTCTATTCAGATTTTAACAGAGAGCTATTGAAGAGAATCTAAAACTGCTGAAGATGACTAAAACATGATGAAGATTCTTAGTTTACATCAGCAAACATGGACCCATCCATTATCGGAACCGCTTATTCCCTAATGGGGTCACGGGCGACTGGAGCCAATCCCAGTAGCCAATGGGGAGAGGCGGGGTCACCCTGGACGGTCCCCAGTCCATCACAGGGACACACAGAGACACGCAAGGACCAACAACCACACACACTCACACTAAGGGCAGTTTGGAGTCCAACCAACCTAACATGCAGGTTTTTGGAGGGTGGGAGGAAGCCGGAGAACCTGGAGAGAACCCACAGACACAGGAGAACATGCAGACTCCACCCAGAAAGGTCCTGGTTCCCCCGGGACTCCAACCCAGAACCCTCTGGCTGTGAGGCCACGGTGCTGACCACCACACCAACGTGCCGCCCTGCAAACAGGAATCTATCAAATGAAATAACTCAAACCTGCCGAATGGAGTTCCTTCAATTTCAATAACATGTTCCAGTGGGAAGGATTCCACTGTGCTTCTTTCTGATAGAAACTATTTTCCTGGTAAAGGAGCTTGTGAAGTTACTCGGTGCTGAGATGTTTCAGCCGAGCTCAGAGGCTTTTTGGTGGGAGAAGAGAATGTTTTTGAAGGGGATTGACTGATTCTTAACAAACACATTTGCTCCTATCTTTACAGAGATAATGAACAATGTCATTAAGAAGGCGAGGGAAAAAGGGAAATGGAAGGTAATGCCCCTGACACTCGAGTAGCGCTCCTTTTTTCCTCGTCATTGTGCTCTTAATTGAAATATGGACGGGTTCTCCTGTTCTGTGTGGCCGAATGCAGGTGCTGGTGGTGGACAAGCTGAGCATGAGAATGGTCTCATCCTGCTGTAGGATGACGGACATCATGTCGGAGGGAATCACCAGTAAGTACAACCAAAGTCCATCATTTAAGATCATGTCAAATAATCTGTAAGCAGCTACTGAAACCCAAATGATTCATTTCAAGTCATCAAGTCATCAATTTCTGGATGAACGTTTCACAAGGGTAGGGAAATACCTCTCGGGGATCTCTTTGGGTATTCAAAATAAATCCTGAACGTGGAATTTCTTTGATGGTGCAGCCTAGACCTGATTTATAGACGTTTAAATAAAAAGACTGATCCTTCTCCTAAAGAGGCATTCTGATTAAAATCAGGTGTCCTTGATGTACTTGGCAGAGGGTCAGTGATGTCCACCAAACTGAATCTATTGTTCACATGTTAGAGGTCTGAGCTGATGATCACAAAACATAAAACCTTATATGCCGTTATATGTTGCATGCTTACATTATCTGCATTTCAAGACCAGAAACCGCTGAACAGAAGCTCTCCTTTATTCAGAGCATGGTTTACCTCTGAAAAGGGATTTCATTCACTGACTTAATTCAAGGATATTACTTTACTGAATTCAGATTGGGTATTATTAATTGATGTTTCCATTGTAGGTTGTTTTGTTATCACGGCAGTGTCGATCCTCTAATGCATGCTGGGATGTACAGTGTGGGTTGTCTCTGTCAATAGCTAGCAGTTGTCCTTATGTCCTTCTTCCTCTGATTAAAGTATAAGATCATTATGTCACTCAGCATTACCAAAAAGTGGATGGATGGATGGATGGCTGAATGGATGCATGTATGGATGATGGACGAGGGGGAAATAGATGGATGAACGGGGGGGCTGAGAGTGGACGGACACTCAGCAAATCTGTTTGTCTTTAGTCGTAGAAGACATAACCAAGAAGCGTGAGCCTCTTCCCAGCATGGAGGCCATCTACCTGATCACACCGTCAGATGAGGTAAAGGAGCTCCCTGCTGTTATGGTCATCTTCCATCAATGTTTTCTGCAGTTCAGAAATACCACCTCGTTACTTCAGTTTAGAGATCTGAACAAACTTTTGATATCCGGAGTAGAAAATGGGATGTTTAGTTTTCATGCAGGGGACATCAGATTCCATTTCTATGAAAGGATTTTTCTGGAGAAAAGCCACGAAACTCTTTGTTCCTTATATCAGACAGTGAGGCTCTTTGCTCCCATGTCTTTCAGTCGGTTGAGGGTCTGATTGATGACTTCAGGGATCCTCAGGCTCCGAGGTACAGAGGAGCCCACGTCTTCTTCACTGACAGTGAGTAAATCCGGCCCAGCCCAAAGGGAAAACACTATTGATGAAATTTTGAAGGAAGAAACTTGAACATTTATGTCTTCTACCATGAAATATGCAAACCCAATCTGCAAAGGCCGTGTTTTCCACTTCCCATCCTGATGATCTCAGCCCACAAGCTTCTCCTGGTTTTTCTACAGCAATCCCAGACTCACTCTTTGGACTGCTGACCAAATCCCGAGCTTCTAAAGCCATGAAGGCCTTGACAGAGGTCCACGTCGCCTTTCTGCCCTACGAATCTCAGGTACGATGCTGGTTGGTCGCTCATAATCCACGACATCATTCATGATGGGTGAGGTATGGGTGAGGTTGGTATTCTGCTTGGTGGTTTGTCCGCACGTGGACTGGTGTTTAGCACTATGGTTCTTTTACTATGATTAAAAAAGGGTTATGTAAAATATGTTCTGTGAAGGAGATATTAAAAAAACTGACAGTAGTAGCAAGGTTCAGAGTCAAAGTAGGACCTTATCACAGTTATGTCCGGCGACAGCTTCGGACCTGTTCTGCTGGATTCGTTTTCATTTGGTTTATGGTCCAGGGAGGATAGACTTTCCTCTCAAGAAGTTTAGATCTCGCGTCTGCAGAGATGGTGGCTCTGCAGAAGCAAAATCAAAATGCGATTTAATGAATCTAAGATGTAATCATTTTGGAATATGGGATTGAAGCAGATAACCCAGAGAGAACCTACACATGCATGTGGACAGAGAATGATCAGACTTGATGCATGGTGGATGAGAGAAAGTGTGTGGAGAGTTGTACCAGAATATTGCTGGAGCTCTACTGCATGGGACTGTCAAAAATGTACAATGTAATCAAGAATTAGACTTTTTAAGCTGTCTTTTGAGCTTGCATGCCAGTGAGCAGTAGTTTACAGTATGAATAACAGAACAGTAATTCACCCAAATACACATGGGATGGTGGAGCATGTAAGCTCTATAAAGCGGACACAAGTAGGCCTGCCAGTCAAGATATGACCGGTTGTTGCATCAGCTCTGGCTTTAGTCTGTGACGGTCCGGTAAATTTAATCCTGAGGAACAAACACATCATACCAGCCCCACCCCCCTCCCTTCATCTTATCCCCTTCAACTCACTGGCTGAGAGGAACCCTTTAGCCAATGAGAGCAGGAATAGAACGTGGCCAGAGGAGTCACAGGATGTTGATCATGTGATGAACAGATGGAGGAGAAAGTGTTGAATTAGCTGTCTTTTGTTAGCATATATATATATGTATATATATATGTATTTTGTTAGCATATATATCTAGGTATGCATTTAAAAGTTTTGTCAAATGAATCTGAACATATAATTTTATTGTCCTGTATTAGGAATATTATAAACCTATTTAGATCATCGCTGAATACTAAAACTAAACTCGATAAGGTCAGTTTAGGGATCCATATGAAGTTGAGTTTGGACCTGAGTGTGTCCGTCTGTTACATCTCTGCTCAGGTCTTCTCCCTGGACAAAGTGGATGCCTTTCAGGACTTCTACAGCCCCTTCAAAGCGGATGTGAAGAACAACATGTTGGAGCGCTGTGCTGAGCAGATAGCCACCCTCTGTGCCACTCTCAAAGAGTACCCCGGAGTTCGATACAGAGGGTGAGGCCAAAGCTTTTTCCAAGACTTAGGATGCTTCCATCTCATTATACAATGGATGACCAGCATTGGTGTTCAGACTCCTGGTATTTACCACAGAGACAGATGTAACAAGACAAGAGTTGGGATTATGTGTCATGTTGAGAGTATGTGTCAGGGGGATTTTCCGTTTTAGCAGAATTTAAATGAAAGATAAAGATGAGAATTTATTGGGTTGAATTAAGAACGGAATTTAGAAAATTAAATGAAACAGTCAGTTAGCCACAGAAAAAATATTTTTTTATTTATCTTTGGAGCTAAACATGTGAGGAGAGCTGTCGGAATCCTCAGTTTTAGTGAAGTGGGGTTATTGAAATGACCTCATATTGAACTCAGTTGTATGTCACTGGACTGGAACTGAACTTATTTTCTTTCCACATAAAATTCCCAGACATGACTTCAGTTAGGGATCAGACTAAGTGAAATGTTGCATACAGACACATGATTTTTGTTACAGAAGATGGTTAGATAAGGAGAGTGGGAGGGCGCCAACTAGATAATAACAGCATCTCTTACCAGTGGAAGATGGTAACAGTGATCAGATCCATCACTTCTATAATATCAATCCTTTCGGTAAATTAAAATTAGCATAGTTCCGTTCCAAAAGCAACCATATAAAATCCACTTCAGATTGTGTACAGCAAAGAACCATAAAGAAGCAAAGTAGCTCAGAGACAACAAAAGCAAAACAGACATTGAAATGATTATGTTTTTGCTGTTTTTTGCCATCTTTGGCAAATTCCATTTTCATATTGTAGTCATATGTCCATACACATGTATCGGGGTACTGAGGTACAGAGAGAAGCTTGACTAACTTTCCTGTTTAACAGTTTGAACATTCTTAACATCATGTCCTAAAATAACTGAGTGTGTTTTGTGTGTGTTGGCTCAGGGAGTACAAGGATTGTGCAGTTCTTGCTCAAATGGTTCAGGAGAAGCTGGATGGCTACAAGGCTGACGACCCCAGCATGGGAGAGGTATGGAGTGGAGCCAAACACCGGCTGGATCACGGACAGTTAGTTAGTTAGTTAGTTAGTTAGTTAGTTATTTTAGGCAAACCTAAAATCACAAAAAACAAAGCAAAATCCTCCTTTACAATCAGAATACTTATCATTACACACAAACTGTCTGGAATAGCATGCAGGTTGACATGTGTCAACCATCTGAAATGCTTTTTTTTTGTTTGTTTGGTTGTCAGGGGAGAATGAAAGTAGTTACCGAGTGTCCACCTTTTCACCTTAGAATTTCCTGTACCTCTTGTAAAGCTGCATCTGTTAATTAAATAACCAGCAATTTTCAATATTCAATCAATCCAATCACCTACCCCAGGTTGAGTACACTGGAAGGATGTATTGACAGCCAGTCTACATGAGGGCTTCACAGAGACAAACTTCCTCTCACAGACCAAAATCAAGCATGTTATGTGAATAAGAGATTCTTAATCTTTTCAGTTGTGATTCTGCATAGTTGTTTGTCTCTGCGTGGTCCTGTGATGGGCTGGTGACCTGTCCAGTGAACCCTGCCTCTTGCCCGGTGACAGTTGGGATTGGCTTAACCAACTTAATGTTTTATTACAGGTGTCATTATATCATTATGTCAGCAGGTTTGCAAAAGTTGTGATATTCTATCAAAACGCAACACATTTGTCCCAGTATTACAGCCAAACGGTGCGTTCAAAGTAAAGAGCTCTAAATATCAGTGGGTGCTTTGTGTGTGCTCTGATGCCTTCAGGGTCCAGACAAGTCTCGCACTCAGCTGCTCATCCTGGATCGAGGCTTTGACTGCGTGTCCCCCCTCCTGCACGAGCTCACCCTGCAGGCCATGGCCTACGACCTGCTGGGTTTAGAGAACGACGTCTACAGGTAAAGCGTCTGGCCTCTGCTATCATATTACAAGTATACATATTTGATGATAACTGCGTGCTTGCTTGACATAGAAATGAACTCAACTTTAAACTGATTTATACTGACATACATAGTTTTACATTTGTTTAAATGAACAACTTTCTTTTCGTTGCATCTGGACAATGTGTAAACCCCATTCTTCGGTCAGTTTTGAGACCAGTGGGATGGGAGAGACCAGAACAAAGGAGGTGGTCCTGGATGAGGATGACGACCTGTGGCTCTCCCTGAGACACAAACACATTGCTGAGGTGTCAACGTGAGTAGTTTGGCCTTCACTTTTCCTTCACGGGGAGCTAATCATCTGCTCTTGATGACATTTTCTACTCTCTTTTTAATCACTCTGTATAGGGCTGTCACTCGTTCGCTGAAAGAATTCTCTGCCAGCAAAAAGATGAACACTGGAGAAAAGGTAGTGTGTAACTTTATGTGTAACTACATGTAAGTATATGTCTGTCCAACTGCGTGTGCATGTATATGTCCTTTTTCTTTTACAAGATATACAACTTGGACTGATATAAAATTATTTGTAGCAAAATTTTCCCATATACCCTATTTTATTTAACTGTTCAGAGAAGATTCATCTTCAATGTAATGGAAGTTGTCAAATAATAATTTCAAATCCCTTTCATTTCAATGATGCTGAAATGTATTTAAGTGAATTATGTTTCAAAGAAGTGAATATCAATCTTTTAATGTTTTTCAGACCACCATGAAGGAACTTTCTCAGATGCTAAAGAAGATGCCTCAGTATCAGAAAGAGCTCAGTAAGGTATAAACACAGATACAGCACCTCATTACATTCTCCTTATTTATAATAACTCATTCTTCATGGTTGCATACACACATGCAGTTTCATTTAGGTCAGACTTGATGTATTTGATTTGAAGTGTATAAACTGACTGTCCCAGTAGCTGTTTCCACACATATTTCGTAAAGGAAAACTTTAAAGAATTTTCGATAACTCATCGTCCTTTCCATTTATGAAGAGTCTGGAATTTTAGACCTTCTGTGCAGTACTTAGACCTGCACAGAATTTAGGATCTGACCTGTCAGTGCTCTGAGGGATTTGTGCAGTCATCTCTACCTCCAGTGTGCACAGTGAGAGATCCAGCCCCGATAGTTTAAAGTTGGAGCTATGCTCCTTCCTCTTTAATGGTCTGCCTGCTATACCTGATTCCCAAAGATGGAGTACAAATGGACACTGCAGTAAAACACAATTATTGTTCATTAAAAAGTCCATTTGCCACAATTTGTCCATTACTGGCACGGGTTATCTTCAGATAAAAATTCATCTCTTTTGCCTTCTATCTCAAGTAAAACAATAAGGAAAAAAAACTTTGGAGATAGTTAACCTTCTGTTATGTTTGTAAAAAAAATCTAAATATGCCATCTCATTTGGGTGACATCACAACCTTTGAGAAGTAAAGGAGAGTCAAATGGGTCTTTTTTTCCCATTTCAAACACACTGATTTGACATTGTTCGTGGCACGTTCATTTTGTGACCTTTTCTCCATCGTTTCAGTATTCCACCCACCTCCATCTGGCTGAGGACTGCATGAACCGCTACCAAGGCACTGTGGACAAGCTGTGTCGTGTAGAGCAGGTGAACGGTCATTTTTTCTCTTTCACACACAGGCAGAAATAACCACACACACTCGTAAGTATCTGATATTTCCTATGGTGTTGTCGGCAGTACACATTCTAAATGGTGACATTGTGAGGTGGAAACAATAATTGGGGTTATCAGCTTGTTCTGGCTTCATGCTGATCCCCCTTTTTTAAGGATTTGGCTACGGGCACAGACGCAGAAGGCGAGAAGATAAAGGATCCCATGAGGCTGATCGTGCCCATTCTCCTGGACGCCAACGTCAGTGTGTTCGACAAGATCCGGATCATCCTGCTCTACATCTACATGAAGAACGGTCAGCTTCTCATTTCCCAAGAGTGCCTCCATGTTTTGATGTTCTGTTCTCTATTGTTGACCCATTCTTTCCTTTTTTGCCCATCGCTCACGTATCTTGATTATGTCCATGCTCTTGTGAAATTAAGCACATGTCCTACATGTATTTGTGTGTGTCAGGAGTGTCTGAGGAAAACTTGTGTAAGCTTCTCCAGCACGCCAACGTCCCACCAGAGGACAGTGACATCATTTCCAACATGGCCCATATGGGTGTTCCCATCATCACAGAGGTGAGCCATCCCGCCAAAAAACACCTCAGACTGTCCTCAGGGGCTTTGCCAACTGTTGGATTTACATTCCTCATTGTCTCTAAGTTGTTCTGAAACTCCGTCCTTTCTACCATCTGGGGAGAGCTGTAAAGCTCTTCATATGTCTCCTCATCAGAGTTCAGCAAACCGTGTCACGGTGTTTTCTTTGTTTAATCATTTTTAGTTGTTCATCTATTTGCATCATTAGTCATGAAAACAATTAGAAAAACACCAATCAGACACAGCGGGAGTTTGAAACGTTCCTGTAGTCCACACACGTGGTTCAGATGGTCAAAAAAGAGTTTCAATATGGTTTAAACGTTTAACAAAGTTGATATTTTTGATTGATTATGACTGAAAATCGCTCTTTAAACTGACGTTGTCCCCCCGAGGTGCTTTGGGGGCGAGTAAGAAGCACTTGTTTCTTTGTAGGGCACCGCCAAGAAAGCCAAAAAGCCGGATCGTAAGGAACGGATAAGCGAGCACACCTACCAGCTCTCCAGGTGGACTCCCCAAGTCAAGGACCTCATTGAGGTACCAGTTACTCCGAGCTGTAGCTGTCGGAGAACATATTTGATATCAACACTCCTAGAAATTAGTTGATGAAAGAAATCTATTCTTATTAATACCACAGGATGCAATTGAGGACAAACTTGACCCCAAGCAGTACCCGTACATTTCCCAGCGGCAGGTGTCCTCCAAAGCCAGTGCTCCATCAAGGTGTGTATCCCACATTTCAGAGAGCACAGAGTAAAATTCGTCATAGTTTCCATGACGAAGATCCTGGCAAAGCTTACTTTTGAGCGTTACTCAAAAATCCCCTTCTGTTTCGTCTCGTTGTTCAGTGCTCGCTATGGCAACTGGCACAAGAACAGGGGCCCCACGGAGATCAAGACGGGCCCCCGGATCATCGTCTTCATCATCGGAGGAGTGACGTACAGCGAAATGCGCTGTGTGTATGAGGTCACGCAGGCCAATGGCAAGTGGGAGGCTCTGATTGGTGAGTCCCCTGAGTGCTGACTGTGCTAATCGAATTAGCTGTGGTAGGGTCGTCCGGACTTTCCATAAAGACTTTTTTGTCAACCCCAAGGATCTGCCTTCAGCTCAGGATCGGCTCTGTAACAGGCAAAATAATAACAGAGAAGATAAGAAAGAGGATACGCAGTTGTGATTTTGTTTTTCTTTTATTTAAAGGTTTCTTTCTTTTGTCATTTTGTCAACCTCAACATTTGACTATGGTTTAGTTTTTAGAACATCCTGGAAATAGAATGAATCCAATATGTGTGACAGGCTTTCTGGATTTAGTTACATTTTAAGTGAGTGACATGAGTACAGGTGTAGAGTCAGAAATGAGGTCAAAACCTTTGGACCTTTTGAGTCTCTCAATAAGACTCAAAGTCTCCAGATTGTATGCATTACTGACTTATCGTCTTTAGACAAATTCATCTTCATCAATCTCTGACATACTTAGGAGGCTTTGACAGGACTCTGTCCTTTCTGAGATGTCAGGATTTTCTCCCTTTTAGGTTCCACTCACATCCTTACTCCCACTAAATACCTAAAGGAACTACAACACCCAGACTTCCTGGACCCCAATGCCCCACCAGAGAGTACAGAGGAGCCGCCTGCAGAGTGAACAGACTTTTGGAAGTAAATACAAGTCGCAGTGTTGTGGTGATTCCCAGTGTTCCCTCATGTTAAGAAACCTGCCCATCGTCATCCCCGTGCACTGTCACCCTTAGTAACATTTTCTCATTGTCTTTGCTTTGGTCCATTTTCTGTCAAATCACTGAGCCTGTTCCCTCTCGTTGCTGGTATCATGTCAGGGTTTCCTTGGTGGGAAATTTAGCTGAAAAACGGTCATTTCCGTCATACCTGTTTGTGACGCATTCCCGGCTCCAGTTGGGCTCATAAACTTTTCCCTAACCATCCTAAGGGAGCCAGATTACTTGGACTACAGGGACAAAATGAATGACAATAAAGGGGAAAACACAGCTTGAAAGCCACAGAATGAGTTCCTGTGTCGTTTGCATAGTTGTGGAATGAGTTTGTTGTTGTCAAATGCCTTGCAGATTCTGCTGCTACACAACAAATCTATATAACTTGTTATACAACAAATTTCTCTAAAATGATTTCCCTCTCTAAGGATCAAATATACCCAACATCCATCCATCCATTATCGTTACCGCTTGTTCCCTAATGGTAGACCCAACAGTAGTTGCTCATTTTTGTGGCTGCGCTCATAAGATTCCACCTAAATTATTTCTAAACATGATGCATTGTAAATGTTGAGAGGTGTAGTAAATAGTTCATCTTCACTTTAAATGTCGAATCCTGCGGACACTAAAAATCAATTTTAGAAAACAGTAAATATGATTTTCATAAAAGGATCTATGAGCCATGGATGACTGGAGACTTGAGAATGTAGGAAGAAATCAAGCAAGAGAAATGAATTCCATTTAGATTAGATTAGATTCAACTTTATTGTCATTACACAGGTAAAGGTACAAGGCAACGAAATGCAGTTTAAGTCTAACCAGAAATGCAATAGCCACAAGTGATGGATATACAATGGTTCCATAAGTACAAGACATGGATATGTACTGGATAAATATAGAGATAGATACTATTATATGCAGAATTGTACAGATAGATTTGACCTATGAATATAATATATAGATAACTAGTATTGTGAACTAAATTTACAGCTGGAAATGAACTGTATTTGGCAATCCATCGTGGTTATTGTTGCAA